GATTGGTGCTAAGATGGTAATTCTGTAAAGCGTTTGTGCCAATATCCGGATCTTTGGCATCCCCAAGAAGGAACCTGGTGCCTATTTGTGTTGTTTCAATTATCTCCAACTGGATAGTGCTACTGAGAAACTGTGGTGGATTATCATTAATGTCTTGTATCTCTATTTTTAGATGGTAAATATTTAACGGGTTTTCAATAACCACTTTAAGATTAAGAACACATAGTGGGGTTCTGCCACATATTTCTTCCCTATCTATCCTGTCATTCACACAGAGGTTTCCATTTTCTGCACTGATTCTGAAATACTGCACCTTGTCCACAGAGATGGCTTGCATTTTGCGACTTGCCAGTTCTCTGAGACTCAGTCCTAGATCCTTTGCAAGATTCCCCACTATAGCACCTTTTGACATCTCCTCGGGGACTGAATAATGAATCTGTTCCGAGACGGCCCGGTAGGAAACCGACAATAGTAAGAGCGATAGTACTTGCCTTCGGATTGCTCTGCCATTCCCTCCTTGCCCTCGCTCCATCCCCTCTGCGATAAAGTTGACTGCCTCAAAATCTCATCGGAATGCGGAATAGTAAGAAACACTCTCCTTTCTTCTTAATTTCTGGGGACCATCCCTTTTCACAAGACTGCTTTGCAATTGTGATCTGCTGTTTTTCCCTGCCTTTAACGAAATGCCGGAATCCTCCTTTGGGAAGCATAGCAGCTCTTCTCCATTTTCTTCGGCGTCCCCGTTGGCTAACAGCGACACCCTCAGGCCAGAGGGGAAACTGCAAGGATTTATTCAAAAGTACTTGCAGAGACCCGTTTTTGGGGTGTTCAAATAAATGCTATGTTAAGCAACAGAGTTTTGGAAGAGTTGGCATTCTGGTGTTTCTTTTTTCTCTTGGTGATGCTTTAATTGTAACATACCTCTTTCAATGTACTTGCATTCATGTTATAATGTCTTTATATCCGATTGTACAGCACAATATCATACCTGTCAACTTAAAACTGACTTCACTAGACTTGGTCTCATGAAAGCAGGAATGTAATCTGCATCTTAAAAGCTCCAATTTACCCTATGGCACATAGACTAGGCTTCCAGGATGGCACGAGAGTTAAATTATTATTGATACTTGACTCTCAATCTTCTGACAGCAGTAGGCAAAATGCTAATATTATTATCCTGCTTTTTGATATTTTCTTTCTTATCACACGTATACCTCTTTTTTCCTGTATATCTAAGAATATAGCTTCAATATTTTAATTCATAGTTTCAGTTTTTCCTCAACCATACCATGGTACAATAAGGAAAATAATCTCTGTTTTCTGTTTCTTTCTCCTTTACATACATAGCAGTTGTAACATAATGGTTCTAATAATAAGAGGAACATTGTGGACTTCAATTCACATGAAGGAATATTAATTTATTTTATGCATTAGGAAATGCATAAAAACTTAAAATTAGGATAAGTTTCCAAGCAGTCAGTAGAGTAATTTGCCTATAATGGTTGCTGTAAATTCAATTTAAATCATATAATGAATGCTAAATTTCTGAGTACCATGGCCTGTTAACATTAAAATTAGAACATGCTTTTCATTAACAAAGCCAACTGGAATCTGAATAGATAACTGAAATTGAATAGAGACTCTTTTCCATCTTTTCACCTGTCTAGTACTTCCTGCACTGGTTTTCTATCATATCATTTTCTTGCTTACATCATTAGTATACAGTCAGTGTTAGAAAAGCCTTTGTTTGTAAATAGCTTTCTTTCATTGTCTTCATTATTATTTTGAACATTTGTACACCATTTATATTTGTAAAAAAACCAAAAACTCTTTCTTACAAGGTCAAATGTCATTCATTACTATGGGAGAAAGTTTCCTGTTGATTTGTTCAGTGAAAACATCCCTTGCTAAACCAACATTTGTAAATCCTGAAGTTGAAACTCAAGTACTTTGGCCACCTAATAATAATAATAATAATAATAATAATAATAATAATAATAATAATAATAATAATAATAATAATAATAGTAGTAGTAGTAGTAGTAGTAGTAGTAGTAGTAGTAGTAGTAGTAGTAGTAGTAAAGTTGGAAGGAACCTTGAAGGTCATATAGTCCAACCCCCTGCTCAGGCAGGAAACCCTATACCATTTCGGACAAATGGCTGTCCAGTCTCTTCTTAAAAATTTCCAGTGTTGGAGCATTCACCGCTTCTGGAGGCAGGTTGTTCCACTGGTTAATTGTTCTCACTGTCAGGAAGTTTCTCCTTAGTTCTAGGTTGCTTCTCTCCTTGATTAGTTTCCACCCGTTGCTTCTTGTCCTGCCTTCAGGCGCTTTGGAAAATAGCTTGACTCCCGCTTCTTTATGGCAGCCCCTGAGATATTGGAACACTACTATCATGTCTCCCCTCTTTCTTCTCTTCATTAAACTAGACATACCCAATTCCAGCAGCCGTTCCTTATATGTTTTACCCTCCAGTCCCCTAATCATCTTTGTTGCTCTTCTCTGTACTCTTTCTAGAGTCTCAACATCTTTTTTACATCGCAGTATTCCAAGTGTGGCCTTACCAAGGCATTGTAAAGTGGTATTAATACTTCACGTGATCTTGATTCTATCCCTGTTAATGCAGCCTAGCACTGTGTTGGCCTTTTTGGCAGCTGCAGCACACTGCTGGCTCATATTTAGGTGATTGTCCACTAGGACTCCGAGGTCCCTCTCACAGTTACTACTATTGAGCAAGGTACCCCCTATACTATACCTGTGCATTTGGTTTTTCTTGCCTAAATGTAGAACCTTGCTTTTTTCACCATTGAATT